AAGGTCCAGCAAAGCACCTCTCCTCGTTGGTTCCTCTACTGCTTGGAGAAGGAAGTTATCACCCATGCATTCCAGGAACCTCCCGAATTGCCTATGCCTTGCTGTATTGTCCTTCCAACAGATATCAGGGTGGTTGAAGTCCCCCATGAGGACCAGGGCTCGTGAACGTGAGGCAGCTCCTATCTGTCTGTAGAGGGCCTCATCCACCCAGTCCTCCTGGTCAGGTGGTCTGTAGCAGGCCCCTACTACTACGTCCCCTGTCCCTGCTCTCCCTTTAATCCTAACCCATAAGCTTTCAGTCGGGACCCCATTCGTCCCCAGGTGCAGCTCCATGCACTCTAGCTGGTCCTTGATACAGAGGGCAACTCCTCCTCCTCCCCTGCCTATCCTTCCTAAAGAGCCTATATCCTTCTATTCTGGCACTCCGATCATAGGATTCATCCCACCACATCTCCGTGATGCCAATAAGATCATACCCCAACAGGCGCGCACACACTTCTAACTCCTCTTGCTTATTCCCCATGCTGCGCGCGTTGACATAAAGGCATTTAAGTCGAGCCCCAGATGAATCTGACTTCCTGGCTGGAGCAGCTGGAATTCCCTTCTTCTGTTCTACAGGTACTTCCAGCATATCTTTATCATTCTTGATATTACCCCCCTCCCCCTTCAAATCTAGTTTAAATCCCTGTCAATGAGCCCTGCTAGCTTTTGCGCTAAGACCCTTGTTCCCCTCTGAGAAAGAGAAGTTCTATCTGGTGCCAGTAGGCCTGGTGCCATGTGACCCATGCCATTGTCAAAAACAACATCTAAAGTATGTTGACATGTTGACAAAATGCAGCTGAGACCCAAGCTTAGTGACTTAATTTTGGAGATTAATAATAAACAAAAAGGGGATTTTATCATAACTGAACTTCTGACAGTAATGTAGTAGAAGCAGGTTAATCTAAGTTTATAATCTCATACTATTCAAATCATTGCTTCTTAATATTTTGTAGAAATAATGAAATCTTAATGAGATTTCAGTGTCATTTTCTCATATATGTAAAGAGAAGTGGAGAGACAGAAACATTTTATACTCGAGTATCAAAGCTATGCTAATAAATATGCACAGAAGCCTTCATGTATTAAACAAATTACCTATAAAGTACAAGAGTATGGTTATATTAACAGTGTATCTACCCAGGTGGTTTATAGGGAATAAGTGCGGAATGAGAACATACCAACTTAATTTGGAAAAGTATTTGAGTTTTTCCACTTGCTAGCTACAGAAAAGCAGAAAACTTTAGCCACTTTTTATACAGCAGTACAGCAATACACAATTATGTCCTTTGATTACAAGCTTACCTGGAATTAACGTCACCATGTCCAAGTTGCCCATGCTGCCCGTATCCAAATGTGTAAACATCACCATTCTCCATCAAAACCACTGAAAAACAAACAAAAAAATAACCATATTTTTCTGACAGGCACACATGTCAACATGGTACTGCACCAGTGCTGGTTAGCCTTTCGGAGCAGCACAGTTAGCAATCCCTACTGAAACACTAAGGGATCTATATCAGATTCCACAATCCATCACAGTTAGCATCTCTGCGCAAGGCTAGAGCTGTGCCACGCAGATATTGCCAAATGGTTAAAAAATTGATTAAAAGCTCTGATGTAATTCAATGTATGATATTTACAGTCCTTTTTGTTGTTGAAGGCCAGCGTAGTAGGCTACAAAATCATAACGCAATCTTTTCAACCTTTAACACTCCCATACTGAAAATTAAACACAAAGCAGTGAAAATACACAAGACAATACGAAAAAAAAAAACCAAAAATTTTACACTATAACTGACACTTATTTATTTGTTTTTACCTGAATGGTGAAATCCACAGCTGACTTGTACAGCTCGCAGTTCACAGTCAAAGCGGACAGCCCCTGGTGGATAGGTTGTGATTTTGCTAGCATCCTTCTCACCTCTTTCTCCACTTCCATCTATAAACAAAACTTGTAATTACACCCCATATCTTTTAAAAGAGTTATATTAGAAGAATGACTAGAACAAAAATAGTAAATAACTCCCCACTCCATCATTTGTAAGGTAGGAGAAAGAAATCACAGAATAGTAAGAGAAAGTTCAAAATGTAGTGTGAAAGACAACAGAAATGCTACTTCTAAGCAGCCTACTACAAAGTTACACACTGGAAAAATATCACATCCTCTAAAGCAGAAACTTCTGAAGAGCAGACAAAAATGACTAGTAAAATAGGAAATTCAAACAACTTCAGAAGTTTTGCTTCCTAACCATCACTTCCATTCTTCAATAAAATAGCATTACGAAGTAGACAGGAAGCACTGTAGTTAAACTCAATAGGCATGGCCTGGTGTGGTTGTTGTTTTGTGTGTTTTGTTGGGTTTTTTTTTTTTAACCACTACTTGTTAAAGATTTTACTTGACTCTAACTTGGCCATATAGCCCTTGTTTTACATAAATAACAGTTATGCAGCTCATTTCTAACAGTACTGACACACTTTGTACTAGCGTGTCTGTTTCCTGTCCATTTAAGATGCATTTTTAGACATTGTTTCTGTGACTTCTTTTAGTCTGAAGTGCATTATTAATTCCTAAAGTTACACTTTACGTTTCTCTTGCATCAGATAAAGTCACTGAAGTGACAAATAAGTGTATTATTTATAAACTTCTTGAAAGTCAATATCTTCTCCGGAAATCAGAGTGCTTAAGTCATCTAACAATTAGACTACAATTAAACTATATGGTCACAGGGTCATAAAGGAAATTGGTTTCATAATACTAGCAAGAAACCAATGTGACAGAGAAATAGACATGTTCGTCACCATTACACCACCTACACTTGTGTAGAAAGCTCGCAATGAAAGCTCTAAAGAAAGTGCATTTTCACAATGAAAAAATTCATAATATGACTTCAGCACACTCTCTTCTAGCATAGAAAAATGAGAGAAAATACATGAAGTGAAAAATAACTGCACACAGGAGATTCCACATTCTTTCTTCGAAAATTCTGACCGATTATTGCTTTATTACCAAAAATGACACAGGGAAACAATTCCTGCTCAAAGCATTCAAGGTGTTGTTAATTGAGATCTGTATTTATAATTTCTACATGCCGAATAATCATTAGTGGAAGTCTGAACTCTGAGACTTCATTCATTGTGTGCAGCATAGCACATACAGACTTACACATCTTCTAGACTTAAAATATAATTCTGTATTTATAGCTATTGCTCAAACTTTCTTTCCTTACTATTGCATGGAAACGGCTGACACAGTAAAGTCATTTCAGCACTTTTATTACTAACTGGTTTTAACAAATCTTACTGTTCTGGAAATAAAGCTATATTCTACTGATGAATAAGTACAGAAATTACATGAATCTCCACGTAGTTTACATCTGTAAAGGAACGGTGCATATAGGTATTAAGTAATGCTTTTGAAGAATTAGGTTTAATAGCATAGGTAAAGTATCTCTTTTAAAACACGGGTGTCCTTCATCAAAAAGAATACTACTTGCACTACGTGTTGGACATGTATGAAATGGAGACATAGGAGAGAAATTGTCCGGCTCTCAGAATTGTCATGGCATTTTTGAGGTTTTTCCAACAACATCAGTTGTGTACTACAATACGGAATGCACATCAGAAGAAATGTTTCTGAAGGTCTGTCTGCAGCTTCTTTTGTATGAACAACAAAATTAAATACAAAGAGACAGAATTGTTAACAGCAACAAAAACTCCTTGAAAATATAGTTTCTCCTCCTCATCATGCAATTCTGCCTTAACATGCTCCTGGTATTTTAGTTAACAATTTGACCATTTCTCAAATACAGTACCTTTGAACTTTTTACATCTACTTTTGCATTAAGCTCTACATGCCAAAGAAATTAAGAGATAGTTCTAAGGGCTAATATTGTCACCAGAATTATTTATTCATCAAGTAGCCTACTTACTGCTTCCCTCTTTCACACAAACTTTTCAGACAGGAGCAGAAAAATGCTAATTGTTCTGGAAGTCTACCTGTGGCCCGTGCCTCCCCTCCTCCCTCAATCATTGATGACTGTAATGAAAAATGTAAGCTCTCCCACTGAGCAAAAGCACTTGAACACTCACCAGCAAAGAACTCACATGTCCAGTAAGGACGTGTCATGGCTGCATGCACTCCCTAAGATGAAATGAACTAGACACACAGCAACCATGCCACCTATGCACAGTCATATTAATAACAAAATTTAGCATAAGTTTTATTCTGGTCATGTAACAGTGGCATATCAAGTGATCTGCAGACTCCTGAACAGGTACATGTGCATTTCCTCTCTCATTGTAAGAAAAACAAACTGCTCTTAAGTGCTTCAACAATTACTAATAAATAGTTGAGGATTGCTGTTTTCTCAAATGATAAATGCGTGATGCCGTCTTTAAATAAAATATGATTCTAGATACATTCCCATTTTTTAAAGTTGCAAGTGAAAGCGTGACACTGTATTACCCTTAAGGAAACATGAGATACTATTGTGCAAGATGCAGAGACAAGTACATTCACATGAAAAAAATTTTGCAACTCCTTATCCAAGAAATAAATTTATTCTAAAAAAAAAAAAAGGTTTTACAGAGTTGGAATTTTCCAATTCCAAAGCTAACTTATCAAAGCTTTTAAGAAGGCAGGAATGGAAGCAACTGACTTCCATACGTATCTTACTTGTGAAATTTGCAAACTGAAAATGAAACTTGTCTCAGCCTTCTTTGGATGGTTAGTAACTGTCTCGTGAGTTTTGAATTGGCTGGATCCTCAGAGCTTGATAACCACTCTAAAATAATTTACGTGTGATAAGTACAAAACTGTTGTACCTAAAAAAAAGTAAGATTCAGATGGTCTTGTTTAGGGGAAAAAAAGTCTTTTGACTAAAGTATGCAAAACTAAATAGAATATCACTACTTACTTTTAGAGCAACACTGTCGGGCTACACTGTTTACATGCGTACTCTACTACATGGCCAATGCATATCATATTTTTCTAGCAGCACTGGCCAGGAGAACCAAGTTCTACAAGCTCTTACACTTAGAGATAAGGCTGCAAATCAACTAGGTCATTCCCTTTCCTTTCAGTACCTTCACAAAGTCAAAATTTTTTAGATGTCAGTGAAAGGTGGATGCAGAAAGCTTATTTGCACATGTCTAGAGGAATAATTCTAACTATGGAGATATACACTTTTCTTCAAACAATTGTGCACATATTCATTTCATTAGAAGTAATATCAAAACAACTGTTCCTAAAAGGGAAGCATAAAAAGACAGACTACTGAAGCAGAGACTCGTCTGGTTGAATGAATGGAACCTTGTAAGCAGAGCAAGATAGTACTTCTGGTGTTATCCAACTGGACTATCACTGAACAGAAACTTTGACTCTTTCATCTCTCCAAAAGAGAAGAAAGTACCAAGGAAAAGCTTCAATGTGCTTCCTGCTGTCAACACTGAGGGGTGGGCTCCATGAACAACTTCACAATGATGGGTTTTCATCTTAGTTATCTTATACAGTTGGGGAAGGAAGTGAGATAACTGGAAATACAACCAACCAACACCTCCCCGCTCCCATATTTTCCTTAGAAAATTCTTAACTCCTGAAGACAATTTTTGCCTCTGTGAAACATGCTCAAAAGTCCTCTGGGCTGATATTGCTACCACAAAAAAAAAAAAAAACGCTTTCCAGGATCAAAGAAAAAGCTCATTCAGTCCCAACAGCAAGTGAAGTCATAAGCTATAAATGAGAGTTACGCAGAAAAAAACCCCGCCCAACATTGTTACAGAATGGCATCTCAGACCCTTGGTCCAGACTCAAGGAAAAACATTTTGTGTTCCTCAGATGCAGTAAAGGCGATGAAGTTTCATTTCTTACTGACCATCTTTGAAGGAGGGGAAAAAGCACTTCTAAAGATGTTAAAAATGTTTCTTCTCCCCACAAATGGAAAGCTTTAATGTAATATGACTGTACACAAATCACTCTTAGAATAACTGTCTGTTTAGACCACATCATTTGCCAACTAATCTTTGTTCAGTTCAGTAGCAATTACCCAAATAAAGCATATCAGTCAAGTTATTATTAGTATCTGTGATATTCAACTCTCCCAGGATGTTCTGAAAGCCTTAATGTCACCTATAGGTCTTACATACAACGATATTACTTGAACAAATCAGCCTGTGACTGATTTGGCAGCAGCTTCTTGGCTGTCCACCACATGCTTCAGCTGAAATATCTGTAACCAGTATTACAGCTACAGTGCTGGGGGGAAAAGAAACCTGCCTCTGCTTGTGAAAATCATGCATCCTGTGAGGGCAGGAAAAAAAATAAGTCCATTGGATGTTTGAGAGGTTGCTACAGAGCTTAGTTGAGCTTATAGGTGAAATCTGATATGCAAAATCATAAGTGCATAGCATTTAGGATAATGTGATAATAAACTTGCATTCTAATTATAAACTCAGTATTAACTGTGCCCTGAATTTTTGTACCTGAATTTTTGGCTTACCTGTTCAGTTCAGCCAAAAAGTAAACACAAAAAGAAATTTACTGGCCAAATCATTTATTCCATTATCTGACCTGGATGCAAGTAAAGCTGCAATACTGAGCAACAGCAAAGCACATCCATTGTCTCCATGTACTTGTTTTTCTACACTATATGAATACAAACCACAAGAAGTCTATTTGAGTGTGAATTCTTAGGTATTTTCTGTGATCCAGATAGCTTGCCAAATAGAAATGTATGTTTTGGAGGAGTAGAGATCCATCTCTAGCCTCTTCCCAACAGAGGACAGAAACTAGGAAAGCTGCTTTCAGTGTTGCCTTCTTGAACTAGGTACTCAGCTTATACTTACAGGTGGACAAAAAGGTATGCATTTATGAGTTGCTCTATTCTCCACAGATACCAAAAGGAGCTTACAAAATGACAAAAATAACTTTTCAAATCATTT